ATGATGATGATGATGATGATGCAGATGAATGAAGCGGCTGTTCCATAAATCAACCCAAGAAGCAGCTGCTGGTCTTCAGAGGAAAAGGAAGAGAAAACAAAAGAGCATTTTTAAAAGTGATGAACTGTCGAGAGCTGAGACCCAGTCTGTGGTGGGACAGTCAAGCTTGTACACGTCATCATCATCACTTAACTTTAGATTTTGGTTTTCAGAGAAATACTTTAACGTGTATTGTTCTATATTATCACGGCGTGTGACAGCTTTAGTTACAAATCAGGATCAAACAGATTAAAGTCTCTGACATCATTCTGTTTGAACTGGACATGAAACAGCTGGTGTTGTGGTGGCAGAGACTCGCTTTACTCTGATTATGTTCAATAATCTGTGAAACTTTGTGATTTCAGTGATACCTGAGTTTGTGGGTGGTGCTGATGTTGCGTTTGCTGGAAAGGGTGTAGAAGCTGATTGTCCTGTAAAATGATGAGATTAATCAAGTTAACTGAATTCACTCATGTTACTTTTTCATGGTTATAAAAACTAATCTTGGTTAAACTTTGACCCTGATGTGCCATCTATGTGCAGGACTGTTATTTAACCCATTAAAGTGATGGAGGTGTGCGCTCGTGCTGTTTAATTCCCACAGGCCCTGAAGAGAACCTGATCTTTGAAAACAGACACAAACAGAACAACAGTGACAAAGTGTGACGTTACCTGGAGAGATCACCGTCAGCTGCACCGCTGGTTTGTTATTACACAGGTATCTCCCAGAGTCTGACGCAGCAGGCCTCAGGATGATCAGCCACTTATCAGCTGATGACATGAATCGTGTGTCATTGATGAGTCTTCTCACGCTGTTACCGTCAGCGGTGAGTATGTCAACTATCCTTCCTCTGTTCTCTCTGCTCCACGTCACCTTACCCTCCACAGGGTGAGGACAGCGCAGGGTGACGGACTCCTTGTTTCTGATGATATCATGTTTGATTCCTGCAAAAGACATATACATTATATATACTGTATATATGTACCTACACTGGCTCTTGCTTTGTCTTGAAAGATGCTTTTAAAACAACCGTGTGATCCCGAAGTTCACCCTGATAATGTCCTGGTCAAAAAGGACCCAACGTCATTTGAGTGTTTTTTAAAGTACAAATCTTCAATCAATACAGTTTCACACCTTAGTTTTACTTAAGATTAACACATTAACACAAAATGTACCTTTCATTTTGCAATTTAGGGCCACCAGACCTCATTTACATAAAGTACACTCTGTTTTTGAGCGAAAACAAAATATTGAAATCTCCAAAGGTTGATTGTGTTCATCTGGACGTAGCGTTCTGTGGGAGAAACGATTCGTCATCAGGTGACGTCTTCAGTCTCAGCTGACTGCAGGTTTCAATCTTATAAACAGTACAAGATAAAACATATTGAAACGTTTAGATTATTTTGACTATCGGACTAACCACAGAGGGCTGTGTGTTAACTTTAGTGAGAAGGTTTGGCAGCACATAATCACAGCTGTGGTCCTCTGGGCTCAAAATGTCCCCCTCTGGTTTGATACTTAATTAATATGAAGTGGATTTTCCCCCACTTTTAATTAAAACTTAATTCAAACATTTTGACACTATTTCTTTATTCCATTACAAATGTAAGTCTCATAAAACCTCATTTAAATAAACTTTTCTTTGTTTTCGGGTAAAAAATGAATTAAATCATCAGTTATCGTGAGGATCGTTTCACATCCAGAGTCGGCTGCTTTAACAGATGATCACAGACGGGTTTATGTCAAAGTTAATTTAGAAAGCTGTTTTTAAACTACTTCAAGTTTTTTACTGGCAGCAAATAATCACATCACACAACTCGCGTGTCCTGACTGCAGGACAGATGGTTTGCCATCGTACACTAGCATGTTCCATGTACAGCTGGACCTGCATCACATGCTGCCCATGTTTTTGTCTCAAAGTTCCCTGGTTTCCTTGGATGTTCTGTTGGACAGAGTCCTCTGAAGGGGACTTGGTGCTCATACAGTCGCATCAGTACCAGGATCTTACATCACAGCAGGAGGAACACCCACTTGTTCCATGCACCTCAAATGGGAGCACGTTTGTGTCATGAACGATGATCATCTATTGTGTCTTTATCAAGAAATTATATCCTTTTTGTGCTTCTGTGATTAATCTTGTGTCACCTTTAAAACTTCTCTACCAGACTCAGGATGTCATAAACTGGCCGTAGCGACTCTACTGGATGCGCGGCAGTAAGAATCAACACACCCACATATGCCTACAGCTGCATTCGGTCCATTTTTCTTCCTCTCTTGTTGTCCCTCCTTGTTCATCATTGAGTTGGCTGTAGAGCAGGTCATCTGCTAATTGGATGGTTGTTGGTTCACTCTGTGTGCTCTAGTCTGGAGTTCTTACCAAGGTGTCCTTGGGCAAGTTACTGAACCCCAACTTGGTCTCTGATGCATCCATCAGCATGTGAACGTTAAAAAGCAGAATACAAGCAGAATACACTGTGTGTAATGCTTTCAGTACTCGAGTAGAAAAGCAGCTGAAGGAGTATGGGACCTGGCACATGTGCTTGGACTGTGGTAGATCATCTTTCTCTGAGGCACATGAGAGAGTCATGCATCGTCTGTCACTGGGAAGGTTAGAAGACCAGATCAGTGTTTCCTCACATTACTGCAAATATAGGTAACATGTTGATTCTTCCTCCTCATTATATTAGAGGACGATATGTGTATTGTTCTACTGGTCATTACACAACATGGTAAAAATACTTTCTGTGTATGTGTAGGTCGACCTTACAATATGAAGCACATCGAGGCGGCTGTTGTTGTGATTCGGTGCTGTATAAAGAAAATTGAACTGAATGTAGACCTGCCTCCTCATTGTGCGGCCTGTTTTGTTGTTGTTGTGGTTGTTATGACCTTTGCATGACCCCACACATCAGTGATCCAAGATCAAAGATGTTTGAAAGCAGTTTGGTGTGACAGCGTGACCCTTTGCAACACTTTGGGGTCACTTTTGACCCCTGAGGACCACAGGTGTTAGTAAATCCATTAAAAACCCCATAAATAAATCAAATTACTTAAAACTTATTCCAGTCATGCATAGCATAGTGCTCAATAGCTCCTGTTATTTTCAGACCATTTGATGAATAAAAGCAATTTTTTGATGGCGAAAAAATGACCTGAGGACAACACGAGGGTTAAACCCAAACTCAACTTTGACCCTGAACACATCTCTACTGAGCTTAATAGATTTTCTTTTCCAGTCAAACATCTCAAATATTCCCAAGGTGTAAATGGGTTTGAAGTCTGCTGTATTTCATGTTGAGATCGACATATACAAATACACCGGTTAATACTGACATGTAAAGAACGGCTGCTGGATTATCTGAATGAAACTCTGAGATGTTCTTACCTGCTGTGATGTTACAGCCCAGAAAAAAGGCAAAGAGGCAGCAGCAGATATTCACTCTCATCATGGTCACGACTCGGACATCTGCAGAAGGTTGACCGGCATTTATCTCTGCTGGAAGAGGAACTAAGCTCATCCTCCCGTACGGGCCGGCCTTCTTTTGTGGTTGATGAGCACTGATGAAGTTCCTGTTAGAGCTCAGTATGAAATCATATTTCTCATCATGTAAGACTTACATCCAAGGACGCTTCCATTTTTAGTTTCCTGACCACTGACTCGTAACAAAGGGAGTTTTTAGAAAAAGCTGTTTATGGAAAAACTGAAGAAATGACTGTGATCACAATCTAAACATAGAAAGTTAAAGGAAATAAATGAAAACACATTTTGTGTCACACCAACATCAAGTTAAGACGGTAATCGGTGGAAAAACGTGTCACTGCGGCGCCATAGCGAGGCTCGTCACGAATGACTGAGCTGTTATCATGTAGCATCATCATGACTTTGAAGTCTGATCTCAGAGAGCTTTTAACAAAGGTTCAGAGCATCGTGACAACAAACACTTTGAATACTGTAAATTTGTTGAATGGTCTTTGTTTCTGAGCCTCGTATGGAGCCACAGTGGAGACACTGGCTGATACAGCATGTGACTGTCCAGAGTTTCACTGGACAGAAGACTTTCTCTGATGGGAAGCAGATCGGCTGAGACGCATAAGAAAAAGGCGATGAAAACCAAAAAGCAAATACAAAACACTGAGAGGGCAGCGCAGTAAGTGACTAGCTGAAGATAACTTTGAAGTGACTGTGAGAAAAACTGACGGACTGAAACTTCCCCTACAACGAGCGAGGATGAGTCAATGAACCGAGGCAGACGCAGTCATATATTTACAGGAGGATGATTTGAGCACATCACCCCTGTATGTGGCTACCTTGTCAGGTTCGAGCAGATTTTAAGGTCACCTACAAGGCTTTAAACGGACTGACACCTTCATACCTCTCTGATCTTTTGCACCCTTATGCTCCCCCCGTGCGCTCCGATCTCAGGACTCTGGCCTTGTAAAGGTTCCTACAGCCAGAAAAAAACGTGTTTTTCTTTTCGTGCCCCTTTTTTGTGGAACAGCCTCCCTCCAGATATCAGGCAGGCTGCTCTGTGGAGCTTTTAAAGTCAAGTTGAAGACCCTCTTGTTCACCCGGTCTTACATGTCTTAATTCTTTGCCTTTTAGTTTTTTTGATTTTTAGCGTTTTTAACTTTTATTATGTTTAAACTTGTTATTGTGTTTTAACTTGTATTGCTTTGCATCACTTTTATTTATTTGTCTCTTTCAAATAGCTGTACAGCACTTTGTCTGAAAGCGCTTTATAAACAAAGTTATTATGATTATTATTATTACACGTGGTGGGCTGAGTCATAACTGAATCAAAACAGACATGGAGACATGACAGGACAGACGAGACGCTGATGACACATAGATGGACACAGACGGGACAAACATGAACCAAAAGCTGAAAGTTACAAACCCAAAAATAAGAGTGTCAGTATACAAACACCTGCCAGTTAGTCGAATTACCCACAGTGATAATACAGCTGCATTTTCCAGGCATTTATCATATCTGTGTGTGTGATGACATCACATGTGAATTAACAATAACCAATGTTTAAAAAAGCTGATGATCCCAACATGCGACTTTAACCCTAATATAACCCTTATTTTCATACTTCACCAAACATCTTCACAACCCTCGTCCACATTTCTAGTGTTGCTTTGCCATTGCTAACTCCCAGTAAGGGTGCTAATTGACCCACACAGCAAAATTGATATGGCCCGGATCTGGCCCACACAATGTGCTTACACATGACCCACATACCACAATGAATGACGGCCCTTTGGTGGCCCAGGTCTGGTTTGCCAGATGTGGCCCACACCTGCGCCAGCACAATGCCAGTTGCAGACACAGTGGTGGCCCTGTGCTGGCCCGTGTGTGTGTGTGTCTGTTTCACTGTTCGACTTAATAAAAGAAGTTACATAAAATAAATAAACGGTGATCCACAGACAGAGATTCGTGTTTTCCTCTGTGACTGAAGTGAAAACAGTGAATGTTCATGTGAAAATGTGACAAAGATAAATGTAATAAAGTGACTGAAACATGAAGCTAATTATACCCACATGTGATAGAATGTGAATTCTTCATGTCGAGAATAACAAAGAGAATGTGATGAAGTGAGGGGGAACCACGAGCACCAGGGTCAACAGGGGAACCGTTAACAGGTGGGACTGATGCTACTGATGTTCTTCTTACAGGTCAGCAGGGAGAACATCTGGATGGTTTAGTTAGTTCTGGGCGCGTTCCCTCACCACCAGAACCCTGCATCATCTACTGGGTAAGACTCATAGGATCAGGGACTAGGACCTCTTTATCAGTTATACACTTAACTATTAGCTACTAAAACAGGTCTTTAGACCGGACACCCACTTAGTCCAGACAGGAACCTCAAAGGTTAAATCATGTGATATGATGATATGATCACATGATACACGATGGCTG